AATGCAAAGAGTCATTGTGAAATCAGCAAACTACAGTAATCAACTCTGTCTAGTATTTTCCTGACATTATCAACCACATAATAAGACAGGACTTGTGGTTTACATAGTCCAAATCAGCTATCATTTCTCCACCATCCAGATTTAAACCATAAATTAGCGGCACAGTCACTATGACAGGCTTTTCTCATCATCATTTGCATCCAATCAGTTAATGACTGGCAGCTGTCTACAAGACCCATTACTGAAGGCAGCAGTTTTAATGTATAACGCTTCATGAGGCTTAAAATCATATTCCATTAAAGCACATGGTAGACTGACGTACTCCAAAATTTGGAAAGGCTTTCAAAGCAAGGAAAAAAATCTAACTCCATCTGTAATCTCAGAAAACCTTATGAAAGACTGGCTTTAAACAGTTTCTAATCTTTTGCTTAGGCTCAAGTAACATAATAGACTAAGAAAAACCTGCCTTAAGGAAGATTACTGCCAGTCTCATAATTGCTAAGGAAGTAACTGTAGCCAGAATTATTATTAGCATGTTATGAATAGAAAAAAAATAAGGAACCTGGATTGAAAGAGTTTTGTCTTTTACCAAAATGGAAGCATATGTCACAGATGGCAGTCAAGGAATCCAAAATGAACTCTACTCTCAATTCTATTCTCCTTATTATGAAATGTCCCTCAGTATCTGGTATAGCAACAGCATAATATTTTCATACTTTTGCCTTATTTCATGCATGTGTATTCTATCTCTAAACAGGTTACAAACTCCTTAAGGAGAAAGACTGACTATAACATTTATTATTCAACATATCCATTCCTGAATGCCTTCATTTCACCAGGCGCTGTCCTCATTGCTGTATATGTGGCATTTAAAAAATGCAATAATCCCTGCCTTCTTTCACTGTACATTCTAGTGTATGCTGATAATACATTCAGACAATAAGCACATAAATATAGCACATCAAACAGTGAGAGATACTATGAGAAAAATGAAGCATCAAAAGAGGATAGGGAATGCTGGATAAGGCAGAGGAGTGGATTTTTTAACAGGGTAGTCAGTTTTACATGAAGCATCTTAATATTGCAGTATTGGACCAGAGACCTAAAGGAAGTGAGGGAGACCTCAGTGAGCATATCTGGGAGGACACATTCCAGGAATAAGCAATGACAAGGGCAACAGCTTTGCAGCAGGAGCTCACCTGGTATGTAGAAGGCACATCAAAGAGGCCAGAAGGGCTGGAGTCCAATAAGGGAAGGAAAGGCTGATAGATATTTATGGTCCTATCCGTGATTGTGTGCTTTCAACTTTGAGAAAAACGGAGACAGAGGAAGACTGGGGCAGTGAAATGCTGTACCATGACTTCTGTTTCAAAAGGGGTCACCAGGGCTTCTGGTTAAGCAGAGACTCGAAGGATGTAAAAACAGAAGAAGGGTTTCAGCTCAGACATTAAAGAGCTTGGAAGTTGTCACTCCCGTCCTTACAACAAGAACACAGCTAAACAGACTGAAAATCAATAACTTGTCTCGGAAGCCTCAGTGAACTGTGGTCACAGGTCCAACCACCAACCTGAAATCTGGAGAGACAGGCAAATCCAGAGAGTCACAGCAGAGGTAAGCTTACCTGGAGCAGAAGCTGCTGGAGATGGAAACTGTTAGAAGGAATTAACTGGTAATTCTGACAAGTTGCTGGAGGCCTAGTGTGGACTAACTTGAGAGTGAGAGACTTTTGAGTGTGGCCATCTTAGCGGACCCTCCCACACTTTTGTGGGTTTTATCTCCATGGACCCCAGCAGATTCTCACTGGGAAGAACCAAGAAAGATGCTCTTCTGGCTCTGGCAGGGGGGAGAGAAGAATAAGCCTTCAGAAATATACCCAGAGCATTCTCCATAGCAAAGGCCCACTTACTCTCTAAGGCAAAGATCTTCCCAAGGCCTCATCCCAGAGCTTTGGGGAAGGGTATTCCTCTCACTCCAGCCTCCTCTCTAGCCTTCCTGTCTCAATTGGAGCGGGACACAAGGAAAGCTAAGAAACATTTGTGAAGATCATAGCCCAGAGAGGCTAAGATTTAGTCTTAATAGAGCATTTTCCCTTCCCCACATCTTACTACTGCACCAACAGGGTACCAGTATAATAGTGGATTACAGCTGAAAGAGATGCAAAATAAATTGTATCTGAATCCTTAAGAAAGCCCAAAGACAATGGGGGAGACAAAAACCAAGGGCACCAGCAGAACTTGACATCTTTGAAACTCATGGCTATAGCAAACATTAAATACAATCCAACTCGTTGCGGAATTAACATAAAACCTCACACTAACGCCCATTTACCTCAGTTCTTATTACTCAATGTATCATGGTTGACTGGAAACAAACAAGTACAAGACATGTTAAAAGGCAAGAAAGTAGAAGCTGAGAGACCAGGTCAGAGTCTTTTAACGATATTCCAGATGAAAGATGCAGTCTTGGGCCGAGACGGTATTAGTGGTGGTGGTAAAATGTGGTCAAGACTCTGCACCTTTGAAGACAGAGTGAAGAGGACTTGCTGAAGAAATGGATGTGGGGTGTGAAAAGAAGACAGGTGGCAGGGATGATTTCAAGTTTCTTGGCCAGAGCTGCTGGAAAAATGGAGACACCATCAACTGAGATGGTAAAGGCTGCAAGTAAAGCAATTGGCTGGGGCCTCGGTGGAGCGGTGGGTTTTGGAAATTCAGTTTTTGATGTCTCAAAGGACTCATCATAATACTGGTCAGTCATACATTCATTTAACTAGCAACATTCTGGAGTGCCTAAATACTACAGCACTTCTCAAGTATTGTTAGTAAGAAGACATGGAAATATGTTGGAAAGCAAGGGAGTGTTTAAGAATTGTTTTATTAAGTGAATAGATGAAGAAAAATATTTTAACCATATCATCAACATATCTTATTCAGAATTGTAACTGTCAGCAATAATAGTGGTTAATGCTGAAGAATACCGAAGAATTTACAAAATGCTTTCACCTATGGGACAGACTCTGCTACTTACACCCTCTTATCTGAGTATCTGCCTTCCATTTTTCCAGTATAATAAAATTTGGCTGAGTACTTGGCTTTCCAGAATGAAGATAACATTTCCCAGCCTTCCCTGTAGCTAGGTGTGGCCAATGGTCTGTGAGCAAACACGGGTGTGTGCAATTTCTGTGATATGCTGTTAGAGAAAATGGGTACACCCATCATTTGCCCTTTCTCCCCCTCTTCCTGTCAGCTGAAGTGCTGATGTGATAATGAGCCATCTTGGACCATATGGGCAGGGTGACACCACCAAGATGGCAAGGGAACAAAAGAGAAGAAGCATGGATCTCGAAAACCCATGGCGCCATCTTATCAGCTCTGGTCTGCACATACTTAGATTGTTACATGAAAGAATAAAGCTTCTATCTTATTTAAGCCACTGTTATCTCAGCTTCTTATAAAAGTAGCTTAGCCTGAAACTTAACCAATAAATTTAATAAATCCTCAGAACAACACTGTGATGCAACTAATATGCTGGAGATTTTTGTTTTAATTCCTTACCAAATATCTCTTTTAAACAGCAGGAAAATAAATTGGCAACATAGCCTTGTTCTATATACTTATGTTTGCCAGTGAAAAAAAACTAGCTGAAAAGCATTCTATATAAACTAATTGTAACAATTTTTACAGCAAGATTCCTGTTTAGGCATTCGATAAAACTGTGCAGTACTCACTACCTAGAGAAGCCACATGGTAATGATTTTTCATAGAGAATTGAGGAATTACATGGTATGCAGTAGCTCAACTTTAATGCTGCAACTTCCCATTAAAATCCCTGTGATCTATTAAGCATTGTAAATACCAACAATTAGTTCCTTGGCTGAAAGAAATGTATAGTTGCTCACTCTCGACTTAAATTCTTAATTTGTGCTAATCAGATAAAGACACCAAAGTTGCTTCCAAGATATCTAGATCTTTGGAGAGATATATATGTATCAGGCCATTTTCATACATTTGGAATGGTTTCACACCTTCAATACTAGAATCCTGGTACAGAACTGTGTTGGAAAGAGCAGAAAAACCCCAGTTCAAATACTACACAAGCAACCATAATTTAAAGAATACTTACGAATGGCTTATAGAGAAGTACTGGTCACTATTTACACTATATATTTCTGCACTAAAAAATGTACACTTATTTTTATCCAGTTGTTCTCTAGGTTCCATTACATTTAATTGCCTAAATCAAAGCAATCCACTGTAATAGCTTTTGAGTGTTCACTTCTGTTTCAAAGGAAACTACTTTCTATACTCTAGCTATCGATGGTGTGATTTGCTAAAATAATTTTCTAAATCAAAAGCAACAATGAAAGGTATAATCAATGTTCTCATTGTGTAGTAAAAAGTTTTTTTCCGTTAAATAAGAACTCTTAAATGAGGAGGTCTAACTGCCTGGCAACATCATTTTATTTAGCCTCTGCAAAGCTAAGGGTGCTCACACCTGCATGTGCACACACTGACATCTAGAGACACAATTCCAAGATTCAGAGGTAGTCATATCTCCAAAATTTTAAAGGTGTCAATGTAAGTCTTGTGTTATTTCCTCAGGTGATGCTTAGAAAACAGAAGAGGTAAAATTTATCTAAGTAGGATAACCTGGCTCTTACTACATGATGAAGTCTGTCTGGATCAGAATTTTAAAATGTACAAAACCAAGCCTTTTCCTAAATTCTTATAATAGTCAGCATTTTTACACAACAGGAGCTCTAGTTCTTCTGGATATAGTTAGAAATACAAGAAAATATTTCCCTATAGAATGCCAGATATGTCTCTAAATTGGTTGTACTGCATATCTCTTTTAAAAAAAAGAAAGAAAGAATGAAAGATATGGGTATTGCATGAAAGGACCTCTTCCTCAATACTGTATCTTAAGGCAAAAAGCAAAGATATAAAAAAAAAAAAGGCTGAAAGTATAAATTGCCCAAGCAAAAGCATAAAATAAAATATTACCTTTAGCTGGGTTTACTTTTATCCCTGACCTATACAGCATTTCCTCATTCTGCCAGTCTCCATTCCTGATTGCAGTCTTGAGTCCATAGAAAACAATTAATGTTGCTGTAGCATAAAAAATCAAGGTCTTGAGAAACCGCTTTTGGACTTTGACATAAAGGGCTCTGGCACCCACTGTAATCAGGAGGCAGAAGCCCATACTAGGAATATATAATACTCGCTCTGCAATTACAAAGCCGACATAGAAAAACAAGTTCGTGGCAGGAACAAACGGAATTATTAACAAAGATAAAGACAGAATAACAATGTTCTCAGTAGAAGGAAGTTGCGTTCTCTGTGATACATCATTTTTAATGCCATTTTCTACTTTGGATGCAAAGCTGGGCTTAATCTCTGAGTTCCGGTACTCCACATCTGAAAGGCAGCTATGTCCATTTGCATTCTGCTTGCCATTTGTTACAGCTTTCCCATTGCATTCTCTTTCTGTGCTTGGGCTCTTCAAACCATAGTAGGCAAGGAGGAGGAGTCCAGTATAGAAGGCCACAGTGTGTAGGTTTCTCCAATCACAAATTGTTTTGAGCAGAGGCACAGCATCCATCGACCAGTCAAAGCTGAGTGTATCTGGGCATAGCAACAGCCAGAGGTTCTTGGTTGGCAAGTAGAAGAAGGTGAGCGTGCGGGCAAGGAGGCTATCTGAATCAGCAGCTGGGTTGTCAGAGTTGGAAAAGCTTGGTGGTTTGTTTCCCATCCAGTATAACCGGGCACCCAAAAGGGAGGTCCCCCAGAAAGTTAACAAACTAATGCTGAGAAAAAGAGACAAGTTCTTCCTCTGAAACCAAAAGAGAAGGGGGGAGAAATTAAGATCATTATCAATATAGCATGGGAACATTTCACGTAACATTTAGAGATGAAACGCATTTTTAAATGGACAGGTAAAAACACAGCATTGTGTTTCAAAAGCATGACTTTGTTTCCATCTTCTTTTAAACAAGCTTAGAGAAAGTTTAACTTCAAAACAATTGAATGTGTAGATAACATCCAATGACTATCTTATTTTTCCTCTCTAAATTATCAATAACCAAAGCTTTAATTTTTTGACCTCTACAAACTGGGTTCAATATATTTCCTTCTCGGAATTGGTGTCAGGTCAAAATAGGACCACAGTGTAAAAGAACTTAGCACTCTGCATAAGATATAGTAGGCACCTGATAACTGTCCTCTTCAATTTTATACTTTAGATTTTGGAGAAAAACAAAATGCAGTCATGTCAAAAAAATATATGTTATGACAGGACTCTTTGTTCAGCATTAAAGTAGTAAAAGCATTTAGCTGTGGTCTAAGCCAGTCCCCAATTCATCGCTTGCGTTCTGTCTTCGCAGAATTTATAAACCAGGCTCTCATCTGTGGCACCATACTGTCACTGACATCGGTGACATCCAACATTTAATAACACACCTCATGAATCCCAGATTTTTCATGTTGATGACAACTTTTAAAAATAAAATGACTTTAGCAATGAACTAACATCTCAAGAGAAAGACAAAAAATTATGAGAGGAAGGCCAAAGGGCATCCGTGTTAATGAGAATTTTCTGGCAAACTCCTTCAAGTTGAGCAAGAACTTAGTGACATTTAACAATCTAAGTCCCGAAGAGGCAGTGGCGGGAGAGAAAGGATGGGCACCACGTCCCAACATTCATGGTTCACTGGTGATGCAATCTCTTCGGGCAAACATTCTGGCATACTAAAAAGCTGTCTTACTCAGTGACACTCAGAATGCTGCTTAGAGTCTTACAAAAGATATGACCAATATTTAGCTTAAAAAACGATCCACAAAGCTCAATATATCTTAAGCACACACAACCTCTATTAAAATGGTCTCTGTGTATGGTATAAAACTGCCACATGGCACTCCTCCTCAAACTCTTCATTCACCCCAACTTTAACTGCTGGAAACCACAGCACTGCTCAGGGATCCTTTCTTCCATCTCCACTCTGAACCTAATGATCTCAGCAAGGTTCATGATTTTAAACACTAATCTATGCTAATGACTCTACCTTCGCCTTCCTTCACTTCCCTTCATAGCCATTTAATCTTTCACCTCCATTGTCATTTATTCAATTGCCTATTGGGTATATTCATTTAGGTACCTCAAACTCAAAATGCCCCCAACAGAACTGTAGACTCATACCTTCCCCGAAACTAAATAAAACAGCATCCCCTTCAGTCACTCATCCTGAGAAATTGGTAATAGTATGTAACCAGTTTCTTCTTCACAATCTCTTTCCTTCCCTCCACATTCTAGCCAATACCAAGTTTTCTAAATTTTCACTTAAAAATACATCCCAAATCTGTCCATTTCTCTCCATCTCTTCTGCCATCACTAGTCCCAAATTTCAACACCAAGATTTCCACAGCAGTTGCCTCACTGGTGACCTGGTCCTTATTACAGATTACATTATTCCCAAATTTTTAACTCATTGATGTAATCTTACTTTTAAGATCTTGGAAGTTTTTATCTCTAACTAAACAAAAAGTAATTCCTTGAGGGCTTCCCTTCCACACTTTTTGGTGATATGCCCCTTTTTATATTTCAAAAGTATTTGGAAAAATTTTTCATTTAAAAAGGGGTAATTCTGAGTACAAAAGTATAGCAAAAGGATAGGTGGTTCAAAGTCAAAAATTCAGAATAAGGAAAACGAAAAGCAGCCAGGTGGAAACAGCAACCAGACAGAAATTATGGAAAATATAAGAAGTAGAATTGTTCATTAATATCAGATCACACTAATGCTAAATTCAAAGCCTCATAGTTTCTTAAAACATCTGTGCCAGACTTTTGCTAAAGATCAATTCATGTAATGCTGTATGAAATTTTTAATGGTAAAAGGAGTAGAACCATGTTCAGCCTCACCAATCTTTAACTGTTAACTGGCAAAATGAGATAGTTCAAAGCCTCATTATCATCTAAGAATAACTTTTTCAAGTCATTCCATGGTTCTTCTGGAATTCTATCCAGCAAAAACTATAAAGTTTGATTCTGGGGAAAAAAAACAAAACACAAAGCCATACCTAAAAACTTGTAGTAACTTGATCCATATAATCATATAATTGAGTACTCTGAGATTAACAGGGGAGAAACACACAATTTGACAAAAATAAATGAGACAAGATATCATGGATAAAGAAGATTGATCTTGAAAAACAAGTGAATCTTGAATTTGTACCAAAAGCTCATTCTTAAAGTGTGACCAAGACCATTCTTGGTCAGAGTGCTTGGGGAGGTGGGTAGGCAGAGAGAAAGCATTACAAAAACAGCTATAACCAGGCAAGAAGAGAAGCCGTGGGGCAAGAGAGCTACACGAAGGAGGGAAATGCAGTCAGGTCTCTTTGCTAGTCATGAAACTCCAGGAGGAGTCAGCCTTGGCAGTGACACAATTCTATTTTATTTCTGAAGACAGAAATGGCATAATAAGGCACAACCATCTCATTCATTCGTTAATTCTTAATAAAGTATCATTAATAATTTAATAAATCTTAATTATCCAAATCAAATATTGAGATTACAGATGTGAGCGAAACCATTGTATATGGAAAGAATAAACAACGAATTATAAGAATGTAATGAAAATTATTCAATGTTAAATACGCAAAGCCTAAGTACTGAAAAAAATGACAAAAATAAAAAGAAATAAAATGCCAACATTAACTTATGTAGTACTTCATATTTTAAAGCATTTTCAGATGGTCTCCCATTTAAACAATTGACATAATAACTAAGATCAAGAGATACCAAAGTTCTGAAATGAGATGTCCTCTTACACTCACTCTAACTCAATGGTGAGGTCTGTAAGGGCTAAATAAGTGACTATTAAATGGAAACTGAACCAACAGGTAAAGGCGATACTGAAATGTTTAAAGTGGAAGAATTTCTAATGCCTTGTTATTTGCTATGACTTAAGTATCAACCTAGGTTTGAAATTGCAATTTAAGTGTCTTTAATTGCTTTCTCATAGAATTTTGTTAAGAATTATCAACTATAAAAATGGGATTTTAATAAAACCAAATCTCTCTTCTAATCCTTTTCACTGTTCCCATGGAGATGGCCTCAAAAACAAGGGTGAAAAAAACAAAGTATGGAAAAAATTTTAATTTCCAATTTAGTCCTTATGTTCTGGTTTACAGATTAAATCAAATCAGCGAATTCTTACTGAGCTATGACAAGGGGGCAAGTGACCACACAATTATAGCCTAATGTTTCTGTGTCTTTGTCTTGGTTTATCAAACTTATCAAACACTGGTATTTCTGAGGTGCAGGTATAGGTAAGGCACGAATGCTTCAATGACTTGCTACCAAAGATGTAAAAGCTAAAGCTAGCAAAAATCCAAGGAAGATGACACTCCAAAGTATGAGAAATTTGAACATTACCTGACTATAATCTTTGACAGGGAACATTAGAAAAGGATTTCAATTTAGTAGCTAAAACATGATCATTTCATTAAACACATTATTAAGGTTGCTGTATATGGCAGGCATTCTCCTACACAGTGGATATACACTAGTCATAAGATGAGAGACCCTGGTTTCTTGGAGCTTCACATTTTCTGCTACTCTGTCCAGGAAAACATTTTGGGAGGAGAAGAGTCATAGTGACTTAAAGCAGTGGTCCCCAAACTTTTTGGCACAAGGGACCAGTTTCACGGAAGACAATTTTTCCACAGATGCAGGGAAGGCGGAGCTCAGGAGGTGATACCAGCGGTGGGGAGCAGCTGTAAACACAGTGAAGCTTTGCCAGCTTGCTGCTCACCTCCTGCTGAAGACAATTTTTCCGGGGGGCGGGGAGGTATGAGCCAGAGCTCAGGCAGTGACGTGCAGCCGTCGTGCCTAATAGGCCAGGGACAGGCTACAAAGGAGTTGAGACACTTAAAGTAAGTAGAATTCGAGGTTGAAATTTCAAGTTTTGTTGCAACATGCAGAAGACAGAATTTGTTCCCACAATTTTAGGGAAAAAAATAGTAGTATGAACCACAAAAGACAAACTCAATAGAAAAAATGGATTAAAAATATACACAGAAATTCAAAGACAAACATCTGAAGATGTTCAATCTCATTAGTTATTACAATTAAAGTGAAATGAATATATTTCAAATAAAGTAAAAAAATAAAGATAATTGGATGTAACATCACTGTATTATGTTGAAATGGGCACACACATTTGGAAAATATAAATTGCACAGTTTTGTGGAAAATTTGGAAGTACATATGAAAATTAATCTGTATCACCTTTGATTTGGTAGTATGTCCTTATGTACATATACTTTACAAAACCTCTTAGATCTAAGTACAAGGATATCTAATGAAGCACTGTTTATAAAAGGAAAAGGAAATAACTACAAATTTCAATAGGAAATATGGAAATACACCATGGTATAACCATCTGATTTGGATCCACATGGCAAATAAAATAAATAAACTATGTGTATTATACATACATATGTTTATATATGCATGTATATATATCAACATATTATATAGCAATTAAGACAAATTAACCAAATTACATAGCAGCATGACTAGTGAAATATCATGTTACAAATATGCATATTATAGAATCATAAAAGCCATTCAGAAAAAATTCCATATATTAAATATTTTTTCACCAATATACCTATGTATGCGAGGTCGACTTTCCCCCCGAAGGCTAGGAATATTTACACCAAACATGAGATGAGGAAACCTCTAGGGTGGGGAGATGGGTCCGTGGATAACAGACAAAAAATTACTTCAAATCTGTGAATGGTTCCTGTTTATCTACAGATCCAAAAAATTTA